TCATTGTGGACTGAAAACATGGGCTAATACAATTAAAATGTAAAAAAATTTTTGAGGGGGACAGGAATGTAGCTCAGGGGTAAAGTGTGTGCTTAGCATGCGTTAGGTCCAGGGTTTGATCCCCAGCACTGCAAGAAATAAAAATAAATAAATAAATATAAATACATTTGAGGCAGAGCTGCCCAGCTGTTTTGCACAGCAGCTGCCCCATTTAACATCCCGACCAACTTGCAGGGTGATCGCCTGCTTCCCACCTATACTTATCTGTCTCGTTGATGATAGTCATCCCTGTGGGCCAGAAGTGGTTTCTCATTGTGGTTTTGATTTGCCTTTCCCTGAGGTCTAATTAGGTTGAGCTCATATTCATGTGTTTATTGGCCATTTGTGTATCTCCTGTGGAGAGGTTTCTATTCAGGTGATTGGCCCATGTTCACTGGGTTATTTGCCCCTTTGTAACTGAGCCATAAGAATTCCCTCACCTTGTGGTGCAGAGATTGTAGGCAGGAATACTGGGAGACCAGGCTCCCCCTCCACCCGTTAGGCGACTGCAGGTGCATCTTTACTTTCGAGGTCTGCGGAAGCTTGTAGGCTGCTTGGCACAAGTAAACAACAACAGGGTCAGGGCAGCACGGAGCAGTGTGGAGCAGGGAGGCACTGGATAGCGAGTCCTGGGTGAGCTCTTGAGCCTCAGGTTTGCAATACATGGTAAAATGCTGGGTGTGGTGGTGCACATCTGATATCTCAGCCCTGGGGAGGCTGAGGCAGGAGGTTCACCATTTGAGGCCAGCCTGGGCTACATAGCAAGACCCTGTCTCAAAAACAGCAACAACAAGGGCTGGGGATTTAGTTCAGTGGTTCCACCACCTGCCTCACAAGTGCAAGGTCCCAAGTTTGATCCCTCTTACCAAAAACAAAACAACAACAATAATAAAAGCCAAAGAAATAAAAGATCCCTAATCTCTCATTTCTTAGAAGAAACTACTGTATTTCCTTGGCAGATCACTTTGCCTCTCCAACCCTCACTCCTGTTGTCTATGAAATAGGGCAGCACGACTGGCTTAGTGGTGCAAACCTGTAATCCCAGCACTTGGGAGGTTGGGGTGGGATGATTGCAGCCAGTTCAAGGCCAGCCTAGGCTACACAGTAAGTTCAAGGCCAGCCTGAACCACATAGTAAGATTCTCATCTGTTCCTCTGGTTTGTCAGCTTTCCCCAGGGACCCTTGGATGGGTGTCCCTCATTCAGCCCTGCTGGGCAGGAAAAACAGCAGCTGAAGCTGCCCTGAGGGTGAAGGGTTGGACCCCAGCTCCCAGTCACTTGTGTCCTGCAGGTGGTGGGATTAAACACTCCACCTTTGCTCCTGTGACATTCCCTGACATGCAGGGGGAAGGAGTGCTCACTTTGGCAGCACAAAGATACTAAAACTGATGGAGAGACTCCCCTCCTTCGCATCCCTATGCACTAAATTTGGACTTAAGCTATAACATGCTCTGACTAATAGCACATGGGCTGAGGTTACATTTTTCACATCCAAAGAGGCCCGAAATACCCTCCCTTCCTTTACCGTGCCCTGGCACATGATAGGTCCTTACACTTATTTTTGTAGTTATTGTTATTGTTGTGGTACTGGTGATTGAACCCAGGCCCTTCACACTGAGCTACCTCCCCAGCCCTTTTTAAATTTTTTATTTTGAGAGTGTTTTGCTAAGTTACTAAATTGCCTAGGCTGGGCTTGAATGTGTGATCTTCCTGCCTCAACCCCCCCAGAGTACTGGGATTACAGCATGCTGCACCACACCAGGCTTGGTCCATATTTTTAACCACTGCCCTATGCTGCTTCTCAAGAAAGGTGATCAGCAAAAGCCTGTTAAATAACCACCTACCATGTTGTTCTCTCCCATTCACATGAATATGAAGGGTGCAGTCCCCTGAACACAGGTTAGCTCCTGATCTTGGACCTGGCCATTTTCTACATGATTATGAATATGGTGGCAGACAGCAGAACTTCTGATTCTTCTGGAGAAAAGTTGCCTGTGGTTTTCGGATGTAAACCCTGACATATTTCCTGTAGGAGCCACAAGAGCCACAAGCTGTCTCTTGTAAATTGGAAATTCTAGACCTGTCCCCTGTAGTCCTCAAAGTGGACCCCAGAGCCCTCTTCTGAAGGCCAATGTGAACCCTGACATCTTTCCTGAGGTCCACAGGGACTTCTCCCTTCCTCCTGGAAGAGCTGTGCTTTCTGATTTCTGCAGGTCCCCATCTGTCATCTCACTGGCTCCTCCTACAGCTTCATCAATCAACCTGGGCTTGATTTTTGTTTTGTTTTGTTTTTGAGACCAATTCTTGCTATGCAGTTCAGACTGGCCTTGAACTCACTATGTAGCTCATGCTGGCCTTGGACTTGCAGAGATCCTCACAGGGCAGCTGCCCCAGTGCTGGTATTACAGGGAAGTGCCACCAGGCTTGCATTATTGTAGGTACGGGGAGCAGTGACCATGTGGGTGGGACTAACAAAGAATCCAGTTGCCCTGCCTGTCACCCAGGGCTCTTGCCTTCTGGTGTCCTGGAAGTGGATACTGCTTCCTGCTCAGCCTTTTCCAGGCCCAAGTTTCCCTCCCTTCATCTTCCATTCCTGTGCTTATCTGCCTTTCTTCCCTCCCTTCCCTTTCCAGCCCAGCTGTGGGAGAGAGGCTCCATGCCTGGCAGGCTGAGCCAGATAATGGGCCCTTATTCTGGGCAAAGAATCCCTGCAGTGTCTTTTGCCCACTGAGGCTGCTTCCAGGCCCAGGGTGGTGTGCGTGGGGGTGGAGGTTGCAGGGAACTGCGGGGGAGGAGCGATTGGCTGGCAGGACAGAGAAGGCCATGGCTGTGGGGATCCCACAGGGGGTTACTATGTAAACATCATGCTCAATAAAAGCCTGTCTTCTGCTGCAGCCCCATCACTCCAAATAGACCCCTTGGAGTTTTTGAGCATTTGCCCTGCACTCTTCTCTGTTGGTGTGTATCTCTCCATGGTACTATCTTCTTTTCCAAGCCTCCTCTCATAAGTACTGAGGATTGAACTCAGGACCTTTGCACTTGAGCTACATCCCAGCTCTTCTTTATTTTGAGACAGGGTCTTGCTAAATTGCCCAAGATGGGCTTGAACTTGTGATCCTCCTTGTTCAGCCTCCCAGACGTATGGCATCACCAGAAAGTAATTCCCAACTTGCTAGATGTCAGATGTGCCAAGTTGGTGTCTCCTGATAATGAAGAATGGATTCAAGCTCAAAGGAGATCAAGAGTGGGAAAGGTTTACTGAGAGAAGACTCCTGAGACAGGAGGGGTACCCAAGTGGGTTGCCACCCAGGCTCTTTGTCCAAGGGTATTTTATAGAGCAGAATCACAATGTGAGTCAAACTACAATCAACCTATAGGATCATGAGTATAGTTGCTTAGGTACTATTGATCCAATAGGAAAGCCAGGCTATATGGCAGGCATCATTAACCTTGGCTTATCTGTCACTTCTGACATAGAACCAAGGCATCCCTGGAAAGGGATGGGAGTGTGGGCCAGGATGTTCTGGTCACCCACCTGTGCACCTGTTGCCTGTCTGGGCTCACTGGACCAGGTGGTGCTAATTATAGTACAATCTCAAGCTGCTGTTTATCTCTGGGGAGGCCTGCAGGCCTGGCTCTTGTGTCTCCATCCTGAGACCTGCCTCTCTAAATTTGCCCCAGCCATGTTTTTTGTTTGTTTGTTTCTTTTTGTTGTTCTTACCAGGGATGGAACTGAGGACCTTGTGCTTGGGAGGCAGGTATGGTGTCACTGAGCTAAATCCCCGGCCCCACCCCAGGCGCAGTTTTGATGTCTCTCATCCTCTGCGCCGACTCCCTCTAGTTTAGCTGTCTGTAATACTGGGTTATAGGTGTGTACCACCACCTCTCCTCTCTTTTCTTTGCATGTCTGTCTTTCTGCAGTCTGAATGTCCGTGTCTCTCTATGTCATCTTTGTCTCTCCACGTCACCTTGAGCCTTTAGATCTGAGGACTTTCATCAGTTACCACAATCTTCTGCTTTCTTTCTTTCTTTCTAGATTTTTTTCGGGGAAACTGGGAATTGAACTCAGGACCTTGCACTTGCCAAGCAGGCACGGTGCCACTGAGTGACATCCTCGGCCCTCTTTAAATCACTTTTATTTTGTGCAGGGATTTAGCTCAGTGGTTTCGCGCCTGCCTAACAAGCACAAGGTCCTGAGTTCGATCTCCGGTGCTGCAAAACAAACAAACAAACAAAAACCATCTAAATCACTTTTATTTCATTCCACTGATGACATTAAATAACATTTCTGTTAGTAGGCTTTAAAATGTGCTGTAAGTATTAAATAACTAAGTACAAATTTTCTGCTCTCAAAGCTCTTAACTGCTCCTTCCTGGGATGGCAACCCCAGTTTACAGATTTGGAAACTGAGGCAATGGCCAACACCCCATATCTGGGTCTCTTTCCCCGGTGGGGCTAGGCTCAGGGTGGCAGCACCTCGGACAGCTTCCCCGGCCCTGCGGTCCCGCACTTCTCGCGGTAGCGATCGGCGACCAGGCGCAGGGCGGAAGTCTCGCGAGAGTGTTTGCAGAGGCTGGCGGGGGCGCGCGAGGCTCGGTTCCCTGGCGCGCGCTTCCCCAGCCTG